GGGATAAATCGGCCAGATAAGGAGCCACTAATCAAAAAAAGAAAAGTTTGAACTTTGTGCGAGGCATGAGGCCTCGATAATCCCTATCGGGCCCCTATTTGCAACAGGTCGGCCGTCCCGAGTGAAGGCAGGCTCGACAGACGACAAGAGGCCTATTTTGGACCACTTCGCAATTGGGGAAAATTCAGGCAGTTGCGCAACGCGAGTTTGTTGAAGGCGCCCAGGCCCTGGCCTCCTTTACCATATGTATCTAAGTCAGGCCCTGGGCGAGATACGCAGCATAGACCCAACTCAGACAGCGCGCAGTTGGGCACGGGTAACTGTCGGTGGTTGTGGGCCTGATTCGTTTGGTCTGAGGCTCAGCCTCCCTGGGCCTACCGGAAGCTTCTAGGCAGGGGCCCAACGCAGTCAGGTTGCACGCAAGCAGGCTGGCCACTTCCATTTAGGAAAGGGCCAGCCCACGCATTGGACATTCGGGCACTGGCTGCAAGCTGCGCAAGCGCTGCTGCGCCAACACTGGCCAGGCTCACACGCTCATGGGCGAGCTGGAAGGAGCAGGCACCCATAGCCGAGCTGCACTGTTGTATGCTGGATGGGGCGCATGGTGGTCCTTGGGTGCAAGGGGGATCTATGAGTTGGGGAACGAGGTTGTGAGTGATACGAGAGACATACTTGGTGCTTGAGGCGTGCGACATTGGCCGAGATCTGCTCGTACTAGGGAAGTTGTTGACGTCATCAGCGGCATTGTAGTCTAGGTTAGATAGGATCTGACATTCGTAGTCTGGGCGTTGAGCGTCAGATAGGATATCAACATTGGTTCTTCGTTGATGATGATGAGACTATTCCAGCATTGTCAGTTATGAGCTTTTGGTGTGCTCTTATTTGGTGAAACTCGTGATGCAATTCTGCTATTGGTTCGAGGTCACGACTATCTGGTCTTATGTGTATGATGCTGTTTGATTTTCTGAAGTTCGCTATTGCTCATCTTCCTTGCAATTTGGTATTAGAGTTGTGGTTCGGTGCGCTAATCTGGTGCTTGTCTTCTGCCTAATGAGGTACATACACGCGGTGTGTGTGGTGAGCGACCGTGCCGTGGGACGTGTGTAGTGAGGAGGGCGAAGATAAGTAGGTGACCGAGGTGGAGAGGGGATCGCCGGGAAGGCTATGCGGTGGTTATCGGGTGTTCGCAGTGTGATGAGAACTATCCAGTGTATGATTGATGTCGAGGTGGAATGGTGGTACAATGCTGGTTGTGTCGAAGCAACAATTGGTCATCACAATCAACATGGGGCCATTTGGTGAGAATATCTGTGGTTGGGGGCAGCTATTTTGAGGTACGTTGCATCTAACCTTATTTACCCTCTTCGACACTTCTTACCGTGAGGATGTGTGTTCTGTCTTGAGAGTCCTTTCATGTGAGGAGTCGTGTGCACTCAACCTTGAGAGTCGTCAATCTTCACCTGGAGCATCTGGAAGGAGAGGGTGGTGCTGTCTGAAGGGCCCTGGACGAAGCACTGGGTCACGATCACCATGCCAACCCACCGGGAGTAGAGCATGCATGCTTTGCTGCTTTGTCCTTTGTTTGCTCGTTGCGCTGTAGAGGGGTTCTGAAGGGCAGGCCAGCCCTATGGGACAGAGGAGACCGGGCGTCTATAAATAAGCACCGGCGGGGKACCTTCCATTGGTTGTGATCGTCATCCTGTTTGCGATGTTAATATAATTCCTGAGGACTTCGGGGGCCGTCCATAAAAACGTCTCCTGATCAGCCAATCGGTCGGTGTAAGGCTCGCTGCACGCGAGGATAAAGACTGTGCAAGGCTGGCCAGCTCAGCAGGACTCGGGGCACAGGGGTGGGCCGTGTGCACACCTTTAGACACGCACGCTGTCCGGATTTGCTCACGGACGTTAATGACAAGAGACATTCAAGAAGAATTGAGGGAGGAGTAGATTCCAAGTGATAAGTCTGGGCAAGATTCCACTTTGCAAACAGACCCAACAAGTGATTCTATTTTTATTTTGATTAGTTAGATGTACAACCATTAACATCTGACACACAACATAGTTTATAACTGTTTTCTGTTCATTGTGCTTTTGTTTGCGAACTAGTCAAAGTCAAAGTAGTTTCGTTTGTAGGAACCTAACTTACTTGTTGGACCTAAATGTATATACTCTCTGACGCAGCCACCAATTAATTAGTTTAATTATAAGTCGGTCTGTGCACTACGCTGCGGTAAGCATCAAAGAGTGTCTTAGTGCAGATTGTGTACAGTTTTGTAGCTTATGAGCAATAGGGATCCCACTAGTGAGGACGACCGGATCTTGCGATCGGCTAGACGCCCGATTGCCCACGTGGCATTAGGACCTGAGGGTGATAGGTTGTTGTTCCGCCAGCAAAGGGAGAGGCAGCAGCAGCAGCGAAGAGCTAGGGTAGCAGAGGCGGGCAGGGCATTCGCAAGCGAAGCCTCAGCTTCAGCAGCCAATGGCAACTGCTGCGCAACAAAGTTCCCAGGCTAGCAGTTGAGGGACCGTCGGGTCATCGGTTGCGCAGACCCTGAGTCAGTCCACTGGCGTCATGGCAAGCCAGCCATTTGTGTTGACTTCCGATGAGATCGCCATACAGCAGGCAGCACTGCAAAAGGCACAACTACAGAAGGCCTTAGGAGAGAGAAAAGCGAAAAGCGAAGAAGGAAAGAATGATTAGAAGAAGAGCTAGGATGCAGCGGAGACAAGCAGACATCAGTGAGTTAGAGGGAATGGACCTGACGCACATGGATGATGATATGAGGACGTTGCGGACAGCCCTGCTAGGTGTTGCGGAGATGCAAGACCACCACACGGCTCTCCTTCAGGACATCCAACAGAGTCTGGCCTTGCTGGTCGGGTGAGCGCAAGCAGCACCATCGCTATCCGGACCTGGTGCCTGGCCCGTTGTACAACCTCCTCCTTATGTCCCACCGATGATTGGGGTATCCTCATATGCCTCCCTAGCATCGGTTCAAACCGTTTCCTTGGGTATGCCGTTAGCAGGAGGGTTTTCAACAGGTCCTAGTGTGCAGGTTCCTATACAGACAATGTTTCTCCCGACCTCCGTCGCAGGTTGCCATAAGCGGGCAGCCTGCTGTCTCGCAGCCTGCACAGTCGCAGGGTACGCAACCCCATCAGCAGCTAGTGCAGCAACCTGCACCACAGGGTCCACAACCCGGATTGGTGCAGGTACCGGGACAAAGTCAGTGGGTTCCAAAGACGGCCATCGTCGCTCCTAAACCCTTTACAGGGGACAAGAGGGGCGAAGACCTCGACACATGGTTGAGGGCAATGCCAGTCTATGTCAAGTGCAAACTTACCTTGCCGCACGAGGAAGTGCTTGTGGCTGCTTCCTATCTAGAGGGGAGTGCAGCAAGATGGTTGAGTGGTTTAGTGCAGCTACAGGGGTACGGTCATGACTTTCGGGCTTGGGCGGTCACCCAGAAACTGGATGACTTCCTCAAGTTGGTGGAAGACAGGTGGCATGATCCTCAGGAGGCCCAAAAGGCTACTGACGCGATCCTGGCACTGCATACCAGGCAGTTTAAGTCAGTAAGAGAGGCCACTGACGTAGAAGAGCGTCTGATCTGTGTCCCTGGGGTGTGCTATGACCCCCAGGTCTTACTCACCTCCTACCTGAGATGCTTTCCCATGCCTCTCAAGAATCAGTTGGCAGGCGACGCCAACATCAACATGCACAACTTTCCCTCGTTTAGCAAGAAGGCCCTAGACCTTGAAGCAAAAATAGGGCATGGTCAGACACCCACGACGGATGGTAGGAAAAAGTCACTGCCTCCCAATTGGAACGTGAAGGGACACATCATGTTCGTCGACAATGATGGTTCCACCATCGAATCGGATGAACGACTTCCAGTTGGGAGTGGGTTCAGAGGCCGGCAGTGTAGAAGCTTCAGGGGGTGGAGTAGTCGCTGTCGTAGCTCAAAAATGTAAGGCGACCGGTAG